CTAACATAAAATTAAAATTCTTGCTACAAAACGTCCAAAACAAGAAGGGAGATATTTTTTACATGCTTTTTGGTTTCTCTCACACACACAAGCGCAATGTTCATTTTGTGCATCATAGGACTAGAGTACCACCAAAACTTTTGAAATTTGTAATCGGAATGTAAACGACCAGTACAGTAAAATAATACTTTTCTAAATGCTTCCAATTCTCTAACGGCCAATATGCTTCCGAATTACCTAACGGCCGGTAATTATACCTTACAACACTATGTGTTGGGGGTATTATACGTTTGATTGGGCCAAAAATTATGTAACACCTCGAAATCTTGGTTTCCCACATAGGAAAGTATATATGAATCTTCCCATCTCGCCGACCTGGGTCCATCTAGCTATGTATGTCCGTCCGTCTGTCAATGTTAATTTTTAACCACGCTACAGGTCGCAATGATGGCCCGATCCTCACTAAATAGAGATGGCTATATTCTTAGGGGCTGAAATTGACCAATAGCTGAAAAATTGATGATTTTACGGCTAAACTGATTTTGACAATTTTAACCAATTCAGAATGGCCTTTCAGGTAGCTATTATTGTCCGATCTTCACGAAATTTCGCATGGGGTAGGGTGGGGATCAAAATAGAAGCCTATTATTTTGGAAGATATTCGAAAAATATTTAGGTTTTAAAATTAACCAATGACCAATTAAAATCGTCTAGATTTGCAATCGCCCTACAGTTCTTAACTATGGACCAATACATGTGGAACATTTTATGAGGTTAGAGTTTAGGACAGCGATGGAGCCTAGAATTTCGTATGGTCATCGTATAATATTTAGCTGGTAAAATTGACTTCATTTTTTTCTTTTTTAGATGTCGTATTTGGAAAATATTGGTTCTGGATCAATGATTATTCGAAAAGAGGAGCAATAAGGTTCAACATTTCTATTTATTATGTAGTACATGGTGAGATAAAAAACTGCAACAAAGTCAAACGCTATATTTTTTTGTTCGAATTGGTCACATTTGGTACGAAACGGCCGATGAAATCGTCACACGCTGCTCGAATATTGCTCTGCGTTATTTTGGCCCATTCTCGGCGAAGCGCTTGCTTGAGGTGATCGACACTTTGGTATTTTTTTGTGCAAACGTTGCTTTCGAAAATAATCCAGACACAATAGTGCAACGGATTGGTGTCCGGAGATTTTGGTGGCCATTGTGCGCTGCAAATGAAGCGAGGAACCTCATTTTGTAACCATTCTTGGTGCGATGGTGCTGAGTCCTGTTCGAATGTCTAAGGTCTGCGGACAAAATGTTGGCCTGCTCAAAGCTTTAATAAACCCTCCAGAATATTTTCGCGATAATATTCGGCATTTATTCAATTGTATTACCCCGAGCTCATGGAATATTGCGATAAGTTCAGCTCACGAGCCATTTTTCAGCCACTGCGACGCTGGTTTCGATCAATTCGCTTCTTTACTTTTCGAAGCATTTCTACTAATGTTGTTGTTATCTTCCGTCCACTTCCTTGACGTCAAGCTACGCTACCAGCATCACGGTAAGGAGCGAGGGTACGAGACACAACAAATTTATTCACATTTAAATGCTGGAGTGCTCTAACGATAGCCACTTGTGGTTTTCCAGCCAAATATAAAAAAATCACAGTATCACGCTTAAATTCCATTACGAATATCTGTTTTCCTGGAAAATTCTCACCAAAATGCTTTTGAGCGCTTGTAAACAATAGAATGAGCTGACACTGGAATAATTTTAACAGCTGTCGGACAAGTGGCTTAGAAATGACAGCAGTCTGAAGTTGGTTTCAGTTTTTTCATCGCACACTGTATATAGGTGGATGTTGATTTGGTTAATCTTCATTCCTGTCAAAACGGGATACAAATCCATAGAAACTTAACCTTTAAGCTGTAAAAATAGCTGTCAGACAACAGAGTAATTCATATTAAAAGGCGGCCCAAAAAATGTCCCCAAACGAAAATTATCTTTGAGTCCGGGCCTGCCAATGCATATAAGGGATTCAATGCCTCCAAATTAAACCTAAGGGCAAGGAGCAGCAGCGGGAGGGATCATTACAGATTTTTGGAGCTGAGCAGAACCTTTTCTCACATAGCACTATACGACATTTTGCCTTCTGCCTCACTAATGCGGCAAGAAGTATTTGTTTGCGTGCCTACGGCCTCCTTCTACCTCTTGTTGGCCAAGATAACCTTCCTTTTTAAGGCAGCAAAGGGAGCCCGAAGAGTGATCTTCCATTTTCCAGTTGCAGTTGTACATTGGTTTTGGAAACAGATTCCGTCAAATGAGTTATTGGCAGAATCAAGTGTTAGATATCCTCTATAAGAAAAAATTGCAATGTTTTCCAGGGGGTAGAGAAAGGAGACCATGGTTACGGAAATAGCCATCAATCTTCGCCGTTTCATTTGGTTTTTATCTGGGGAAATTCTCCCCAAAAGATATATAAAATCGTTTCTCATGACAAGCACATTTTATATCCTATCTTATAAACCCTACGACTGCACTTATTAACATTTCCTACTTTTCTTCAATGTTTTGCGTAGATTGCATGAACGAAACAAATAAAACATAAAGTTGTTTTTTAAGAACAGAATCGAGAACATTAGTTATTTATCATGTGTTTATCATTTGTTTATTTATTAACTATTTATTATTATTATTATTATTATTATTATTATTATTATTATTATTATTATTATTATTATTATTATTATTATTATTATTATTATTATTATTATTATTATTATTATTATTATTATTATTATTATTGTTATTATTATTATTATTATTATTATTATTATTTTATACCCTCCATCATAGTATGGAGGGTATATTAATTTTGCCATTCCGTTAGTAACTCCTCGAAATACTCATATACCCAACAAAGTATATATCATTGATCAGCGTAAAATTCTACGACGATTTAGCCATGTCCGTCTGTCTGTCTGCTTGTCTGTCTGTCTGTTGTAATCACGCTATCTTTCGAACGAATTGAGATAGAAGGCTAAAATTTTGGACACATATTTATTTTGCCAGTAGGCAAAAAATGGGTAATGTAGGTCCACGTTTTCATATAGCCCCCATATAACGGTACCTCCCGATATTCGGTATTTTTATGATTTAAGCGACTTTATTCACCGGAATTGTATCAAATTTGGTGTTTGAAGTTCATAATGAATACTACAGCCTAAGGCAGAAAATTGTCTATGCAGGTCCACGTCTTTGTGTATCCCCCATATATCAGTACCTCCCTATATTCGGTATTTTGACGATTTTAGGTACAATACTCACAGAAATTGTTTGATATGTCGTATTTGAAGTTGGTAATGGAAGCTACAACCTGTGACAGAAAATTGTCTATGCAAGTCCAGGTCTTCGTATAGCTCGGATATAACGGTACCTCCCTATGTACGGTATTTTGATGATTTTAACAACATTGTTCACCGTTTATTTCAAGTTTCGAATTTGAATATGGTAATGGTATTGGCTTGTGACAAACAATGCCTGTGTAGGTGCACGTTGTACAGACTTTAATATAACGGCTATATTCGGTAATTTTCGAGAATTTCCAAATTCGTTCTAAATGGTGGAAGGTATTCAAAGTTCGGCCCGGCCGAACATACTGCTTGTTTAAACGTTGCAATTGAATTTGGAGATGTATTCTGTTTATAGCTATCGAATTAAAATATTTAATATACATGTGAAAAAACGATTAAAATAGGTTAAATGGCTTACAAGTTCTACGCTTAGATTTTTGATTCATTACAGAGAGAAACTCAAAATAAATTTCATTATATTGTATTTCGATGGTATCTCAAAATCAACTTTTTTTGTATGAAGAAAACTGCGCCAACTTTGATAAGTAATTAATTTCCTTTCTTTTATGACGCAGAATGTATTTCTAATTAAACTGGCGATGCGAATGTCCACAATTTGCGTGTAGTCTTTGTTAATAGTGGTTTTTTTTATTTCTACTATTGTTGTTATTATCATATAGGGTTTTTTCTATTTTTATTATTTGGTAAGAAAGAAATCCTCCCACATAGAAACAATATAATTTTGATGATCTCGTTTTTATTTAAATTATATTTCAAGTGGCACATTTTTAAATTTAAAACCCCTTTATGAATCTGTTAAACATAGATAAGTTAAGAAAGGTCAGAATGAAGTTTTTATAAATTAATTGCTTGTCATCCCATTACATTGAATTTAAATTATAAACAAAAGACTTAAGCCACAAACTTTATTTTGACTCTCATTCACCGAACTGCTTAATAGTTCGAACACTCAATGAGTTGTAGAATTATCGATCTGAACGACGTGTTAATAGATTTTAACTATGTGTTTTATCAAACTAACATTCTTTAGATTAAAATTAAAACATCATAAAGCTACTACCGAAGCGTGTGTAAAAAAGACAAAAGAGGCGCACCAACAACAACTACACACAGACAGAATTAATTAGATGCTGCTGATCATTTTATTTTGATTTAGTTCTTTTGTCTGTCAAACTTACTGACTGGCTGACTGCCTGTCGCTTTGATCACTAGACTATTTGTCAAAAATTCAATTTTCGAACAGTGCTAAAAATGAACAAGAGATAAAAATAAAACAAGACAAAACACATAAAATTAAAAAAATAAATAATAATAATATGACAACAGACGTCACCACTGCAATGGGACGTGAGTATTCTTGTGGCACCTATGCTAATTATTTAAGCACAAATTTACATAAATAATGAATGAGCTACCTCGACCATTGACATGTTTACCTAACCTATGATTTGTTTTAGTTTTTTGTTTTGTTTGGTTTTGGCTTTCGTTTGCTTTGCAAGTTTTAATTACGTTTTCTTCGGATCTGAAGGAAACAAGTTTCGATTTTTTCCTCCGAATTTCGTTTGCATAGTTTCCTAAACAGCAAAACAAAAGAAAAGAACAAATTGCTTATTATATTCATATTGATGGACTTCAAAAGCAGATATTTGTCTAATCATTTTTTGGCAATGTTGTGAAATTTTAGTATAAATTCGTTAAAAATCATTTGCAGTAGTCACAGTTTTATCTTGTGTATCACAGAAGTAACATAAATCGAAATCAATCATGAAATTCTTCGTAAGTACATAAAACTATCCTGAATTGTTGAATCAACGATTGTTATTGGAATTAATGGATTTAACCCTTGCAGATTGTTTTCGCTTGCGCCTTGGCCATTGTTGCCGCCAACGAAGATGCCAATGTCATCCGCAGTGAGTCCGAGGTCAATGTAGACAGTTTCAAGTATGCCTACGAATTCGACAACAGCATCAAGGCTGAACAACAAGGCAAATTGGCCGGTGAAGAAAACTGGGTCGTCAACGGCCAGTACTCCTTCACCTCCCCCGAAGGCGAACAAGTCTCTTTGCAATACACCGCCGATGAAAACGGTTACCATGTCGATGCTGCCAACCCCTTGTTGCCCACACCACCACCAATTCCAGAACACATCCTTAAGGCTATTGAATACATCAAGGCCCACCCCAACCCCGAATACCAAAACTAAATTGATCTGAAGGATAATTGTTATTTGTTTGAAAAGGATTGAAATAAATGTTATGTGAAATGTATGTATGTATATTATTTTGTGGAAAGTGTCATTTATGGCATTTGGGGAGAATGTGAAAATTTTTGGAATTTCACATCTTTGCCAGGGTTATTATTGAAAATTCTGACACTTTGTCCAATTTTGCATCTGACCGAATGAAACCACCTCAAATCCGACAAAATTTTACTAGAAGAAGACCAGTCGTAAATGTGGAGTTGCATCGCGTTTTTTTCGAATACGATTCCATTATTGCCCTCAAGATCTTCGCTGCTTTAATTATAGTTTCGTTCCCACATTGTAATATACAAGTAAGTTTTAACTGGCAAGATATGTCCTGCCATTTTTCACAACACCGACTGGCTATTGGACAGTGAAATTATATGAAAATTTGCAGGGAATCGGAGACATTTCAGGATGTAGAGCATCCATGTATCCTCACAATTGAATAAGCCCCAATTTCAAATATATAATTTCAAAATACATATAACCTGCCGATTTAAAATATTTTTAATGTTTCAGGAAACTTTTCGAGGACATAAATAGTTTTCAACAATTTTCTCTGGGTCTGGTCACTTCGTTTAATTTTCCAAAATTTGAATATTCTCTACCATTACGAAGGAATTTGCAAAATTTTCAAAAAAAAGAAAAAATCGTTTTCGACTGATTTCGTGAATTTGATGCACCAAACACGATATGGATGTTCTATTTTAATGAAATTTAAAATGAGTGACGGGATTTGATCAGAAAATAAATGTATAGCTCCCATATTCATATTTCGGCCGATTTCATGTATTTTATGCACCAAGCACGATATGTATGTCCGATTCCAATGAAATTCAGAAACTGAGGCGGAATTTGTTTACAATAATACATTTGACAAATTAATAAGAAATCGGTTAATATGCGGATATAGCTCCCATATATATTCTCTGCCGATTTCACATATTTGACTCACCAATTGAGGATACGATTATTACGGGGAGGTATGTTGCTACCTCGATTTCTCTAATTGCAACAAAAATACCACTCAACTTCAAAAGATTGCAGTTTCCTACACGCTTGGCATTTGCTATGAAACTAATAAACCCGAATGACAAACCGTTCGTGTATGCGGATTACATTAAAAATGTTCCTGCTTTTCTTATGATAAGCTGTTGCTGGCATGTTCACGCGTTGGTAGACCGAGCTATTTGTTTGTTTCCAAAATAAAGTATTACAATAGTAACGTTTTTAAATATTTTGAATTTGTTTAATTTATTTTTTTAACAAACAAATATTAGTATATAAAACAAGGAAGCAAAGGCTATAGTCGTGTGGGGCCGACCATGTGATACTCTACAACACTACAATATTTTAGAAGCTCCCTTATGTCCAAATGATTTTGGAAGATTTCGCTTTTTAAATTATGTCACTGAGCATTGCACAGATATTACCCTTAGTATTTTGACCGAGACAACACCTTTCTTTATATATACATTGTATATATTTCACAATATATATCCGATATATTTACTATTGGAATCTACATAACAGTCAGAATTGGCCTTTTCGTCTATTTGTGATTTCGCCGGAATTAAAAATATTCGTTGTTTAATAGAAAATTCGACTTTTATTTAACACAAATTTTATGGTCTATTTCACCCACTAAATATTATCCGATGACCATCAAAATTGGAAGACTTCTGCCCAGCCCTAAGCTCTAGTCCTATATTAACTTCCGTTTCGATTGGTCTATAATAACAACATGTACAGCAACTGCAAAATCAGAAATTTTTCAGTTTTTAGTCCATTGCAACCCCTAAATATTATGTGATCATCTCCAAAAGCAATAGGGTTCTATTCTGCCTATAGCCTCACCTCCATTCTAAATTTCATGAAGATCAGGCCGTAACTGCGACCTGTAGAGTGATTGCAAATTAACATGGACAGACGGACGGACGGACATACATATCTAGATCAACTCAGCTCGGCGAGATAGGAAGATCCATATATACTTTCCTATGTAATATACCAATAATGTCGCTGAAATCATCAAAATACCGAATATAGGGAGGTACCGATATATGGGGCTATACGCAGACGTGGACCTGCACAGACAATTTTTTATCTTAAGCTGTAGTGTTCATTACCAACTTCAAATACCAAATTTGAAACAATTCCGGTCAATAATGTCGCTAAAATAATCAAAATACCGAATATCGGGAGGTAGAGTTATATGGGGGCTATACGAAGACTTGGACCTGCACAGACATTTTTCTGTCTCAGGCTGCAGTATTCATTACGAATTTCAAATACCAAATTTGAAACGATTACCGAAATATACGAATATCGGAGGTACCGTTATATGGAGGCTATACGACGACGTGGATCTACACGGTCCATTTTTAATACCAAAAGTCCGGCAGATATAACATTCATATTTTAACAACCTACTACATTTCGTTCGAAAGCTACAGTGATTTACACAGACGGACAGGTGGATAGACGAACAGACGGACAGACATCGCTAAATCGGCGTAGAATTTTATGCTGATCAAAAATATATTATTTGTGGGGTCTAAAATGTAGGTTTCGAGGTGTTACAAACGGAATGAAAAACTTAATATACCCTCCATACTATGGTGGAGTGTATAACAATGCCAAATATAGATAGTTACCATTATGTTGGGCCTTTACGAAGGTGTGGACCTGTATATGTAGATACGAAACTTCAAACAACTCCGGTGAAAAATGTCACTAAAGTCATAAAAGTAACGAGTATTGGGGATATATTATTATATGGATCTACATGAATACGTGGGTCTGTATAAAGCACTTTTTGTCGTAAGATATAGTACCCATTAAGATTTTGAAGTTTGAAATATTTTCGGCGAAAAAAAGTCATCAATATACCGAATATGTGGAGGTACAGTCATATAGGGACTATACCAAAATGTACAATATTGACATAGAATGTTTCTTACAAATCGGAACACATGCTGCCAATTTCCAGCAAATGCAGGTTAAAATTGTGACATCGGTTCAATTTATGGGGCTATACCAAAACGAGGACCTATATAGCCCATGCAACTAACTTCATTTCGCTTAGAAACCTACTTCATTTCGTTCGGCTGCAATAATTTCCACATAAGGACAAATAGACAGAGAGAAGGACATGTCGAAATCGTATATATACTATAATGGATACTTCGAAATGCTACAAATGGAATTATACATTTAATATACCCTTAATACTATGGTGGTATAGCAATACAATATTGTAAGTCAAATCAAGCAATATAAAAACTATTTTTATACCCTGTATTTTGATGATTTTAGTCATGTTTTCAATGGAATTGTGGGAAATGTCACCCAAGGAGTACTTTGTGAGTACTTTACTCTCCAGAAGAGTATTGTCTATATTCGTCTACGAAATCATATATTTCGTTATAGGACCTCCCGATATTCGGTATTTTGATGATTTTATTGTTATTGTTTCAAATTTAGTATTTAAAGATCCTAATGGGTACTACAGCTTATGACAAAAAATTACTTATACAGGTACACGTTTAGGTAAAGTTTCTTTTGAACTTTATTTTTCACGGAATTTCTTGAAAAATTTTCGAGTTTCTTCAAAATGATGGAGGGTACTCAAAGTTTGGCCCTGCCGAACTTATTTACAATTTTTGCGATATTTTTATGCGATTTTCATAGCTCTTATCCTTTTTTGGCCAAAAGACCATTCCGAATTGTTATGTATTGTCGAAATCAGTCCAGCCGTTCCTGAGTTATAAGCGAAGTAACTATCATCACTTTATTTTATTCACATAGATAGAAATTCAGTTCTGTGAAATCTTTTAAATTGGGATTGTTTGCCACCATGTAAAGATAAATAGGTATGTTATTTATCGTCGCTGAGATCAGTTTATCCATGACGCACAAATAAGTAGTTCGACCAGTCGAAGTGTTAAAATGTGTGCCTGAATTCAATCACAAGCGTTTTAACAGCAGCGCACGTATTATTGTCATGAGACCAGCTAATAAAAAATGTTCTGAGCAGAAAGTAAACACTTCTACAGCAGGTGGAACCCCGCATTATTGACTGGTGCTAGAAATTATAATTCTTAGTTTAGATTTCCAAAAGGCATTTGCGAAAAAATGCCACCAGTTTTGCATTGAAAATATACACGAGCAACAAAAAAAAAAGATATATTGAAAACGATTGTCAGCGATTATGCTATCAGTAGCTCAACAACAACATAATGAATTTATTTGATCAATTTACATGAATTTATAGCAAAACTTCCATCAGGTTTTTGGAATTGAACTTGACTGTCTTGAGAAGTATGCATTTACATATTTTATCAATAACTAATAAAAATATACATTTTTATGATATGTCGAATTGGTCGTTTCATTTAATTAAGAAACATCGGCATGTTAACATGGTAATTTTATTGCCCTAAACGCCATGGAATTGAAATCGAACAAAAACACAATAAAATTAAATTGAAATCAATATTTTGTTCCGGCATAGACATGAATCGTGAATAGTTCTGTTGTTTATTATAAGCGACGCTACTCCAAAGAGAAGAGTATGCTGAGTTTTAAATTTCATTTGTTGCACTTTGAAATAAATAACTAAACAATAAGTCGGATTCAAAATATTATTTAGAATTAATAAGTACTAAATGACACAACATTTGGTCAATTTGAATTTGTAGGAACGGAGGAAACTGGAATCCTAAAATCGAAATTAACATTACCGGCAAAGTGTGGGATATGGATGTAGTTTTCGAAATTTGCACTTATGCTGGAATGCTGAAATTTGGAAATTAGGTTAGCATTTTAGGACTGAGGTATATATTTACTTTTGGTAATTCGTACATTTGTGTACTAAGGGTATTTGGAAAAACCGATAGATCCTGAAATTTGGAAATAAGATTTTTAGTGCATTGTATGATTGGAGTATGTATTTTAGAAATTCATATTTTTGGTACAATTTTGATTCTGAAACAACCCGTAGAGTC